AATCAAATCCCACAATAGAAACCCCCATCCCTCGTCTATACTTCTGGTAAATTGTTCTTTATCTCCAAGACAATGCACGTACACAAGTGGCACGTTTGACACAACGTGAGATTATGGAGTTGGATTGGGAAGTTCTCCCCCACCCACCATATTCTCCAGATATGGCACCATCAGATTACCATCTTTTTTGTTTGCTGCAATATCATCTTAACAGGAAAGCGTATGCAAATGTGGAAGGTATTAAAGAGGACATCAACATGTTTTTTTGCTTCAAAGCCAAGTGATTTCTTTAATTTCTTTAACGTGATTGTAAGATGTAAAAGCATCATCGATGAGATTGGAGACTATTTCATTTAAAAAATGTTTTGTTTTGATATACAAGTTGTTTGGGTTGTTTCATCTAAAAAAACGACACAAAATTCTTCACGACCTAATAGTTCCATTCTCAAAAATTGTGATTACCATAGAGCAATACTACTGAGCTATCTTAAAAAAGGTATTTTCATCTTTCTTTTTCAGATGTATAAATTGTACAAAATGTTGCTTGGTGCTCAAAACTGTCCAAAACACCATGGGAACACTAAAACAAGAAACATTTAGTCTTGAAACAAAACAAAAAACTACAGGGCAACAATATGAACTAAAAACATTATTTGAAAATTTTTCTAATTTTCATTTTATTTCTAGTACTAACCTAAGAGCTTTCAGACATTCACTGTTTTGGCCTCCCATGGAATCATAATACTTAATTTTTTTATCAGTGAAGTCTACCACCTAAAAAGGAAACATTAATTAATTATCTTATTCTCCAAATAAAATTATCTATTACAAATATGAATATTCTGACTGTTTTTTTTAACAATTGTAAACATATATGATTCAAATAATTATGTTTTTTCAAAAAGTAAAAGAAGAAGTACAAATAATTATAATGTAAATAACTATCTGTTTATTAAACAGTTTGAGTTTACTTATATCATACTACAAAGTAGTACCAAAAAAAAAGGTATTGTTCTTACATTTATCATCTTATATGCATAGAAAATAACTCAATTGTAGGCAGGATAAAAGTATCACAAATGCATCAATTTTAAATAATGCTTAAAAAATACCTTTTTTTATTATCACAGATTAAACCTAATGCCCAACCTATGATCTGGTTAATTCGATGACGAGGAACCCACTTTGAGACTAATAACACACTTGGAGACGGCTTGAATGGGTAATGAAGAAAAACTTTAATATAAGTTTAACATAACAGCAAATGTACAACGTTTCATCAAGGCTTTGTCATCATCAGGTACCGTCTCCAAGCACTATTATGATCTGGTTAGTATTTCAGATACTATACACAACAACAAAATAATTTTTTAAGTTCACATACAGCTAAACACCAGTGCATTCCCAAATGAACTGGCACTAGTAAGAGGTCATAAGAGAATATGTCAATTTTCCTCGTCCACCTTCGTAAGGCACTGTGACCACCAACAGCAAGTTTGGGGTAGAAAAAGGTGTTAAAGGCATACACTGAGGGATAACTGTCCAGTTTACCTCTTTCCATTAATTGATTCATATAAAAATTTATCACCTAAAACCAAAGAAAAAGACACAAACATAAATGTTACTTAAATAGACACTGTAAGTAAATAAAACACAAATACATCTACACAATTATAGTTCTTGAAAATTTTTTGATTGAAATGAACAGTTACTTCTTTTGTTATTTCAAACTGCTAAAACTCTGATGATGCTAATTAAGCTAATTTTTGAAAAGT